ATTTAACTAACGTCCCTCTCCCTCTCTCTTCTCTTGCAGAACTGACATCTTCCAAATCTGCTGAAAAAAAAAGAAATAAAAATATGGAAACCATGCATGAGCTGATCCCCTTTGCCAAAGAAATGCTCAGCCAGAAGCCCAACAGGAAAATGGTGAAGCTGTACATGCTGGGCAGCGCGCTGGCGTTCTTTGGTGTGGTCATTGGTCTGGTGGAGACGGTGTGCAGCCCTTTCACCTCTGAAGGGAGGCTGGAGGAGGAGGAGGAGGAGGAGAAGAAACCTGCCCCAACACAGGAGCAAACGCTTCCTCAGAAACAGGAGGACTTGATCTTGGAAAAGAGCACGAAGGCGGTGGCGGCACAGAGGGCCCTGGTGACCAGACATCACGCGTCCTGAGAGCCCTGACCACACACCAGAGACTCTGCTGTCCCATCCCATCCTGCCTGGGGTGGCTCCAGCAAGGAGAGAGAAGGGTTGGCTGAAGGAGGAGACCGCAAGTGCAAGACTGGAAAGAAGTGAACGGTTATATTTGCTGCTGTGCAGCAGTGGGGGGAAAAAAATACCTTTTGTTGGTATAAAAATGTGCAAGATGCACAGTGTGGTTTCTTATTTTTATTACAGATGCGTTTTACAACATTTTGCAAAAATCAATAAATATTTTATATGATACCAGTGCTCTCTACTTACATTCATTTCAAAACCCTTCTCTTACAGATTTGCAGATAGGTTTCACTTGCACCTCTGGCTCCTCCGGGGAGAGGGGGACACCCAGTGAACAGTTGAGAGTGGTGGCTACAGCCTCCAGACCTCAGTGAGGCTGCTCTGGGACTGAGGGGGGGCCGTTTCTGTACCTCCAGCAGCTCTCCTTTCCAAAATGGGCCAACTGGGGCAGGGGGAGGAGGCAGCATTTATCTCACATGGGTGAAGGATGCATGCCCTGAGTTGGAGGTGGAGTTGTACTTCATGGGGTCATCTGGGTTTAATGACACAGATTCGCCTCTCTGCCGTGGCCATGCATGCCCAGAACTGTTTTGGTTTGGGTTTTTTTGTTGGTTTTTTTTTTTAATAATCAAAAAACAACCCTGTCCCTCCCTCAGCAATCCTCTAACAGGCTATGGCTGCTGCACAGTTAAAAAAAAAAAATATCTAACCGTGCCTGGGTACCCACCATAGTCACCTAATTGTGCAGAATAACATGAGCTTCCACAGGGGTGTCACAGATGAAAAGATGAAGCATGGAGAGACCCAACAGCACAGTCAGCCTGTTTGGAGGGTGTAGGAACAGGGATCCCAGTTCAGGGCTGAACCCAGGGCACTGCCAGTCTCGTTAGAGGACTTCCACCTATTTACAAGTCTTTCCTGGGCTTAGTAAGGATTTGTTGCATTCAGGACTGTCACGTTAGTCAAATGCACCCTCCAGACAGCCACAGCTGAAAGATCCTGACCTCACTGCAGGCAGAAGGGAAGGGAAATAGTCCCTGCCCATCATCACGGGGGCAGAAAATCCCTCTTCATCCGCTCAACGGCAAAGACGGGGGCAGAGGTAGGAGCAGGCTACGCACCTCGCGCAGAAACTGAGAGATGTACCAGCAATATGCCACTATTAGCTAAAAGCAAAACAATTGATCCAAACAGCAGGAGATCATGGAAAATGAAAGGGAGCTGCCTGACACCAGTGCCAAACAGATAGCTTCTCCCGGAGCTGCACAAGATCAGAATCCGAAAATATAAGAATGCAGCTGAAGTTCACTCTTCATTTTCATAATACATAACCATGCAATTCATTTTGTTGACAATTATTTCTTTCAAAAAAAAAACAAACCAGCAGCACATTGTGGAGGAGGAATCCTACCAAGTCCGCACACAAACTCTGCCCAAGCTTTGAATCAAGTATAAAGTACCTTCTCCTCACGCAGAAAAGAGCAGAGTCCAATAATTAGATGGAAAATGGCCTTTGAGAAATACTTCATTTAGTCCACAAGCGAGCCTTTTGGTCTCTGGCAAGACTGAACAATCCCACACTCCATTGATACCAATGGAAATTTCATGGGCAAACACGAAAGGAGAATTCAGGCTTGAAGAAAGCCATCAGCTGATGAGTGTCCTTCATCCCCATCCCCCCATCTCAGCTTTAAGCAGGTTATACGTTTGCAGCACGGCCTCAGGGATTGGGAAGGCTGACCTGGAATTCCCTGTGCACGCTTGGTGCATGGATAAACCAGGGATCTGAACGACTGTGGCTGTCAGGAATGAAAACATTGCCAGGTCTGAGCTCTCACCCATTACTGTAGTTCAGAAGCGTTGCTGCTGCAGCAGAGCTAAACAGCTGATAAATGGATTAAATCGAGACAAGAATCATGTCTTTGTCCAGGGCAGCTGTAAACTCATGTCAATCACACATCCCTTCCCAAGATAAGCACTTCTTGACAAGCTGTAGGTGTCTCATCTTGCCTTATGGGAAAGGGAAAATTATAAAAACGAGGAGATAAAGCTGGTGTCAAGCGCCCAGCTTGTGAGTCCGGGGGCGACTGGGGAGCTCCAGGCGAGGCCATCCAGGACGGCCACCACCACTTCTGCGTTTGGACCTCAGGATTGTCTTCACGCCACATACGTGGCTTCCTCGCCCCGTGCCGGTGCTCTGCTGCCCACACCTCTCCACAGTTATCCAGCCATGGGGTTTATGAGCTTAAAAGCAAAGAGGTTTGTGGAACAATCAAAATAGCTCCTCCTAAGACAGCTAACGGGATTAGACAGCTAAACCACGCGCTGCGCCGGCGGTTCTGGAGCCAACTCAGTAAAATCATGTCCTGCAGAAGACAATCTCCTGCTCCTGACGCACTGCAAGCTCAGAGGTCGCTACCTCCCGCATATTACCCCGACAGGTCACCCAAGGGGTCAAGCCTACACGCTACCCATTCCTCAGGGATCGTATGGATACCAGACAGGACCAGCTCTCTGCAGAGTGGTGAATTAGACGCGTATTGATGGCTGATTTCCCACGATGAGTATATAAAGCCTTATTGAAACCACACAATGAGTTCAGTGTGCGTAGAGGCTTCATAATCCATTTAACATCGCTTTACGATGAATGACAGACTTGCCAGACGCAGCAGCTTAAAAGGCTTCAGCAAACTTCCCGGTCTTTAAAGCACGGCACGACTCTCCGAAGCAGCCTCTTCCCCAGCCCCATCACCTCTGTATTCTGGCAGCAGAGGAACCGCCGAAAGCCCCGGGCAACACAACTGCCACAAACACAACCCGCAAGCAGCATCCACACACCCTGGCAATGGAGCAGGGCAGAGTCATTCCAAATTGCAAAGAGAAATTTTAACTGTAAGCACTGGGATATAACAGAGAGCAACCAGGTGGAGTGAGATGTGCAGCCAGTACCAGTAAGGACACCTCAGGCAAGCTGTGCTGAAGAAGCAAATGGAGCATCCGAGACCAAGCTGACCCGAAGCCCGGAGGGCCAAGCTCTTGAGGAGGGCCACACGTTGCCCAAGGTGTGAGTTCGGTTGCCGAGCATCACACGAGGTCAAGTCTTGTTGTTCTTTTAATACTTGTCTGAACTCAGTTTACTTTAACCTGTAAACGTGACATTTTCCTGGTGCGTTAAATCCTCTGGAAAACCGCAGTTGGCACAAGATCTGGTAACTATTTTTCCGTACCCATCTGGCAATACCTCTTCAGCGATCTTATTTCAGCTTGGAGCGGTTGTCCAGGATTTCATCATACAGAGTTGAAGGCCATCTAAACCCAGCAGCCCCCCCAGCACAGGCCATCGCTTCAAGGGCACGAGCCAAATGTCTGTCGAGAGCCCTCACTCGCTATTTGCAGTTTGGACTCTGGATGTTTCCAAGAGCTGCCAGGCTAAAATTAGGGGCCCAGATAAGCATATCAGCCTCTACCACCCAACACCAAGGGCACTGGGAACATGGATGGCAGCCAAGGCTTAAAGCAGCCACAGTACCGACAATCAAATATCAAGGCAGCAATTCATGATTTGGCCACATAGGGAAAAAAAGAAAAAAATTTAGTGCTTAGACACAGCTTAAACATCACAGTATTTTCCCTAAACTGACAACGAGTAGATTTGATAGTGAGTTGAAAAAAGCCAAATATCACTCAAAAGAGAAAAAGAAGTGGTATCTCAGTTCCTGCCAAATGCTTTTGAGCCCCTGAGCTGCGTGCACAAACCCGCCCCAGCCCCAGCCCTGCCCCGGGATCATGCTCCCCCCAGGCAGTGCCTGGCTGCGGGCACTGGGGGGGGTCCCCAGCAGCCCCTCTGCTGCTCTGCCAGTTCCTTGTCAGACTTCCTGCATTGGTTCCCTCCAAGAGAGCCCCAGGCAGCACTAAACGAGGAAACCCCCAGCACAGAGCAGTTCGTACAGTGCCAAGCATCACCCCTTGGCAAACATGCTTCCAACAGAGGCAATACAGAAGTGACCCACAGCGGGGGGACACATCCAGGATAATTTGGGTGAAGCCGTTGCAGAAGCAACGGGCTGCTCCCCCTTGCCCCCAGGGCTCTGTCTCACCGGGCCAGGGCCGGTGCCACCACCAGGTCCCCTCTGCCAAGGCGTGAAGGTTTGGCAGCAGCGGGGCCAGCACCAGCTGAGATCAGAAAACACTTCTCCGTAGTGGCCTCTTCCAGCCCTCCTCTCCCTCCCCTCGCTCCCCGCCCCCAGAAAAAGGTTAAAAACAAGTTCTTAAGTTGCATACAGCAAAACAAACCCAGAAAAAGCTGCGAGTGGGAGTGAGGAGCAGCAGCGTTCTGGAAGGGCGACAGGCGGCCAAGAGCAAACCCACATGGGCAGAAAACTGGGCTGGATCCGGCACCTCCCGCTGCTGCCGCAGCCCCCAGCCCTCCCGGGGACCGTGCCAGCACCTCCCCCACTTCATTGCCACACAGGACACCCTACACGGCACAGAACTTAAACTTTTTATGAAAGAAAATTTACGTATGTCCAAAACATTTGGTATTTCAGCCATTTATTATCAGCTACTTCGTTTCCCGCGCTGGTGCGGAGCAAAGAGCACGGCACCTTCCCAACGCGCTCCCAGGCGCTGCCCAAAGGTTGATGGTTATTGCTTTACTGCAGTATCCAACACCAGTAGTAAACAACAATATCTGGGAAAAGCCTCTCTCCCTGCCGGCACCGCAGGCAAGATCACAGCCCAGGTGAGGTACATCAGGGCACTGGTTTTTTTTCAAGCCAAGGAATGAAATTGTTGCCTCAGGATCGTGACCCAAGTTCAAAGCAAAGAGGGGCAAGAAAAGGCGGAGTGACGGTACAGTTGTTATCTGACCAAACATGGGTTGAGTGCATCTTATCAGAGGGAAAGTTGAAACTGAAGTAGAAAGGCAGAAAAGAAAAAAAAAAATAAATCTATGAAGCAGAAGCAATGCCAGAGAGCTCCGCTGCACCAGCAGCTGTGTCACTAAATTAAATAATCTTTATTTTAAAGCTGCAATAGGGGAAAAAAGTTTTCTTTAAATAATTCTTTCTGGCTGGTTATGGTGGAGGGGTCTGCGAGGGACAACCATGGCATTGTGCCCACGTGAACCAGCCCCTGCACGGCAGGTGAGGCTCTTGTCCCCGCAGACACAGCTTTTTCCACTGGGAAAGTGGAGGCTCCAGCGAGGCAGCTCCAGGAGCACACAGCACGTCCCCATCCCACCGCAGCAGGTACTGGTACTCTGCAATGCAGATCCCAGTGCCAGAGCAAGGCTGGGGCGTAATTCATACCTATTGCACTAGATTGGTGGCATTGCACTTGCTGCTGCCCAGGCTCAGGGAGCTACCAGATGTTACATGGGCTTTCCTCAGACTATATTCCCTTAAAAGCAAGAACAAAGCACTTGCAAAACTCCAAGCTGGAACCACAGCCACAAGGATTCTTATTTCTCTGCAGAAAACATTCAGTATTTCATTGCAAACCTCCCTGTGCCCAAACAGCCCCTTGGATCCGGGGCGGTCGCACCCCCGGCGATGGGATCAGCTCAGCCCCAGCTCCCTCATCTGCTCACAGGAGTAGGTAGAGGTGAAAAAACAAACCCTGCCTCAGCAAAGCATTTGTGGAGCTGTTGGGGTGGTACACACTGCCCAGCATCCCCACAGCCAGCAGCTGGCAGAGCAGAGGTGCCCTGGGGAGCACAGGACCTGCGCTGCGCATCCTGCTGCACGTCCCCCCGCGGCACAGCGGCCCCCGGTCGCTCCCTGGCACCCGACCCACCGCGGGGCTTTCGGCAGCGCGGTCGGACCCGGGGTGCCTCTCCGCACGCACCCGTGTACGGTGCCACTGGGAATAAAAGACGATGTTTAACCACCTGCACTAAGCTGCCTCTGATGTTCTCGAAGTGAAACTTGACGCTGCTCAGCAAAGACACACCTCTTCCAGGGAGTTGTGCAAAATTCTGCATTTTAACGTAGGACAGGAAATATGGAAAGAGCCGGGCAGAACCCAAACAGCACCCTCGGTTAGGCCGAGGTTCATCAGCTCCAGCAGGGAGCAAACCAAAGCCTTTGCTTCGCTTACCCATCCACCCCTGATTTTCCAGTGTTTTGGAAGCTGTGGTTCCTTCGCCAACAGGTTTTAAAGGATTGGCATTGCTGCTTCCCTCCGGAGCAGCTCCGCAGAGGGCTTTTTTCCCTCCCTTCTCTTTGATGCTGCATTTCCTGACTCCACAGTGGGATGGGTCGGTTGCAAAAGATTCTCCTTCCCTTTCTGGGATTGGTTTTGGCCTTCTGGTTTTATTCTGCGAGGGAGAATTTCAAACCGGGTGAGTATTAAGAGCGAATCTGTCTTTAAGGAAAAATATTAAAAGCCAAATCTGAGGGTTTTGCGTAGAAACTGTACAGAGCTTGGACCAAACCACGTCTGAGCCTTTGTGTGGTGGCTGATACTGGAAAGTTGTTTTAGCAGAGATTTGAAATCAAACGAGCAAGTAATACGCAGAAACACTTCCTGAGGGAGCCGGTGAGGCAGGGGGTCTGGGACAGAGAGGGCTGCGAGCGCTGTTTTCCTGTGAGCAGCAAAAGAATTTATAAACATGACCCTTAAATGTTGGATTTTAAGCTTGGAAGCATGCAATTAGGTGGACGATTTTTATTACTGGGGTGTTTGTAAGTTGTGTCCTGACTTGTGGAAAAAAAACACTGAACGAGTCGAGTGCTGTCCCTGTGTCGCTGCATCCGCACGGCAGCTTTTTCCAGCAGACAGAAGAGCCGTCCCAGTGCTGGACGCTCTGCACTTGCAGGCTCGCTTAGCTTCCAATTAACTTGTCGCTCTGAAGGGCATGAAGAGATTGACTTATTTATCTATTTTTTTAAATAGGGCTTGGATAGTTTAAACCCCTGTGCTTTGGTCCCCAGAGATGCTGAAAGGGAAGCGGGTGATTGTCACCGGAGCGAGCACTGGAATCGGGGAGCAGATGGCGTACCACCTGGCGCGGATGGGATCCCACGTTTTGATCACAGCACGGACAGAGGCCAAGCTACAGAAAGTAAATGGCAAGCTGAGCGCTCACACACACATGCTCAGGGCGCTGCACGCACAGACCGATTTCACACCCCACGAATGCATGCCCGTGTGATTGCCCTGGCACTGGCACGGTTACGTTCACGGCTACGCTCTGCTGGGGGCTCCTGCACGCACAGAAACCCTTCTGCAGACACAGGCACTCTGCACACACGGTAGGATGTTTGAACTTGCTTAGTTATGCACACACATCCCCCCCCCAAGGCTCCCTCTGCACACACACACCCTCATTCCACTGCAGTGATATACAGGCTCCTGCTCCCCCTATACGTGTGCCATTCCAGCACGGAGCGCGCCAACAAAGAGCCACACTGCCTTGGGTAACGCATTCACCACGGCGGTAACTTTTCAGGCTCCCTTTGAAGCTTAAGAGGCTCCAAACATACTCCTGAAGTGCCAAACCGTTGTTTTAAGGTGGGGACACCTCACAGGGAGCACAGAGACCCTCGCTTGCTACCGCACCAGGCTTCCCCGGGCAGGGAAAGGGGATTCTGACGCGTCGTGTTGGTGCGGCAGGTGGTGGAGCGGTGCCTGGAGCTGGGCGCAGCGTCCGCGCGGTACGTCGGCGGCACCATGGAGGACATGGCCTTCGCCGAGCGCGTGGTGAGGGAGGCCGAGACCTCGCTGGGTACGTTCACAGCCCGCTCTCCGCAAACGCCAGTGGGATATTGCATCTCTCCTTGGCCACGCTGCTTTTTTGCCACGTGCCCACTATAAAAAGGGGGAGAGATGGGGTGAGACCGCAGAGGTTTTTCCCTAATTACGCCCTTTGCAGTCCCGCTCCTCCACTCGGCTTCGTCGCTCCAGCTCAAACTGAACTGCGCTCCCGATTTCAGCCCTGTGCCCTCGTGATATCCCGTTCCAGTATCATGACCCTGGATTTCATCACCCCTGGCTGCTCTGAAATCACCCACTGGGCTATTGCAGCCACGGGTCACGGCTGCGGAAATGCAATATTTCGGCTCCGCGTGGGGCACTCCCTCTCCCGCCCCGGACCCACAGATAACTTGAGGGTCATCTCCCTCGTGCCATGGTATTTGCGTTTTGAATCAGGGGAAAAAAAAAAAATCAAGACAAAATTTTAACTGGCAGCCACCATCTAAACCATATCCCTTTTCCAGAAATGACGGGCCACAGCTCTGACCTAAAAACCTGATTTCTTTTGATTTCATTAATTCTGCTCCCAGGAAAGGCTCTGCTGGTTGTAGCCCTCTCCCACCCAGCACTAACACCTGCTCCTCTGCTTGCAGGAGGCCTGGACATGCTGATTCTTAATCACGTTGGCACATCGTACTTCGGTTATTTCAATGGGGACGTTGAGCACGTACGAAAGCTCATGGAGATCAACTTCCTCAGCTATGTGGCCATGACCACATCTGCCCTGCCCATGCTGAAGGAGAGCGAGGGCAGCATCGTAGTGGTTTCGTCCATGGCAGGTGAGTGAGGAGCGAGGTAGGTGACAGGGGAGTCACTCAAAAGGCACCGTGGGCTGATTTTCAGAAGTAGGCAGCGTGCAGAGACACCAGGCATCCTAAGGGAACCGTAACTGCTTAATGCACTCAAAAACCCTCACCTAAATCCAGATCTTTTTTGTGTTTTCTGGATGGAATTTGTTCTCTGATGCAATCCAATCGCCCCTGCTTGCTTTTTGACCAGCCCTGTAATTAAACCCCACACCCTGCTGTCAGGCTTGCTAGAGCAGCAGAGCTCATACACCTCCAGCTTTATTTCTCCCTGCATTGGATCCCTGACTGCTCTTCTTGGTTTGGTAGGTCAAGTTCCTGCTAATATTTGTAGAGTGAGTTATTGACTGACTCTATTCACAAAAACATGACTCTGTTCTAATAAATTTCTGTTAAGTCAGGAAACTAAATTGCTACCAGATGTCCCTGCTCACAGCTGGTATGTTAGTCAGTCTTCTGGTGATCAGCTTAGCTCAGGGTCCACAGACAAGAGTTTAAAGTTTGCTCCAGCTCTCCCCTCTGAGGGTTTCCCAGTTACTGCAGGCTGCTCATACCCGGAGCACAGACATGAGCCATGGTGTTGGCCTCAAGGCCTTCGAAGAGCTGGAAGCTGACAGGAATATTTGTAATGCTGCGGTTTAGGTGCCAGAATGACATTTCACTAACAGTAAACTCCCTTTGGGTAAAATCCTTTATCTGATGAAGGGCAAAACAGAGGTTCAGGCAGAGCAGCTTTCCGTGCTATAACAGAACTTCACTCTGTGTCCAGGTAAAGTCGGGTTTCCCTTTACGGTCCCCTACTCTGCAACTAAGTTTGCCTTGGATGGATTTTTCAGCTCCCTGAGGCAGGAATTCACCATTCAGAGCATTAATGTTTCCATCACACTCTGCATCCTTGGCTTCATCGATACTGGTAAGATGGGTGCTTGCTGATCAGGAGCCCAGCATCACCTTCTCTGCTTCTTATCCTTATCCTGCCCTTCAACCCCCTCTGCCACCGACTCTCCCCGTCCA